CCTGAGGAGGAAGGAGCGGCACAGACAGCGGGTGATGAACTGACTCTGACTCACTACACCGCTGGCGGGAACGAGGTAGAGAAAATCGGGAGTGAAGTTGAACTCAGGAAGAATGAGGAGGGGGGGGAGGTGTTTTTAAGATTTGGTTTTATTTCTCATTACCCTGCTCTGATTTGATTGGCAATAAATTAAACTAATTTCCCCAAGTCAAGCCTGTTTTGCCCGTGACGGTAATTGTTAAGGGATCTCTCCCTGTCCTTATCTCAACCCAGGAGCCTTTCACTATATTTTCTCTCCCCTGCCCAGCTGAGGAGGGCAGTGACAGAGCGCCTTTGGTGGGCACCTGGCCCCCAGCCAGGGTCAACCCACCACAGAAGCCTCTGCCCTAGCAGGGACAGCTGCTCCCACAAATGTTTCTTTTAACTTACATTACAGGTCTGACCATGGCAAAGCAGAGATTTCCAGGGGAGATGATAAAACTGTACTCTAATCTCGCAAGCTTTATACCATAATGCTGACAAGGGCATCATTCCTTTCAGGTTGAAAAATTCTACTGAACACCATCATGTGATAGCAAGGCTAAAAGGAAGGAAAACACGGGCCACTCAGAATGAAAAGACAGATGCAGAAAATCATAAGGTGAAAGGCTTTGAGAAAGCTGTTTGTATTTGAAAGTTTCAGAATCAGGTAGTTTCTAAAAATATTTAAATAAAATCATTCATTTATGCAAATGCATTAACCCAGAAAGAGCCAAAAACAAAAAAAACAAACATCCAGTATGAAGATTTTCTTTACAATAAAAATTCTTCTAGGAAGTATATTAAATATGACAAGGGGGGGGAAAGCATCTCACAATTTATATTCAAGGGCATCACATTTTAGAACAATGTCTTAGCCATTAATCATTTATAAATGATTCACAAAGAAATTAAATACGCTATTCCATAAAAGAATAATCTAATTTACAGTTTAGATGTAAGGCTTCACCATAACATCTCATACCCTTCACCTGGCTCTTTGCATACCCAGACTGAGTGATCTGTACTTACTCTCCTACCAGAGTAACACAGCACGGTAGTCCTCAAAATCACAGGTAGTGTTCAAGGTTTACTTTTTAAGGTTCAACAAAAAAGTATTACTAGAAAGTGTCCTGTTATTTGTCACAATAAAAGCAAACGAAAAGCTAGGAGAAATAGGTAAGTTCTATTTGCCAGTCTAAGATCGAGGGAATGGATTAAACTATACCTTGGGGAAAAAAAAGGTATCTAGCTGCTAGTTATGCCATCAGAGTATTAGTCTTTGTGCACAACTGGGACACCGCAACTCCAAATCACAGACTAGAAACACAGTGTTTCCCTTAAACAAAGTATGTAACTTCTGTGTGAAAAAAGCTGGGGAAAAAAAATCATGAGAACCACCCATCTCCATAGCTGTCATATGCATAAGAACTATTTGCTTTACAGAGCTCCAGTTTATTCAAAATACTGAATGTAATACTGATGACAATAATATCCCTTAGTTTCCTTATGCATCAAGTAGAAAGCAGAGAAAAACCCTGCCCCAAAACCTCATTTTCAACCACAAAACATTGCCAGAAATCTCGCATTTGCAACACAGTTACCTGGTGTTGCAGTTAACACATTAATTCTGCAGACAACGGTCACAAGTACTTACTAAAAATACAGATATGTTTCCCAAAAGTAAAGTGAAGCTTTATTTAAGATGACAAAGCTTTTGTTAACAGTGCAGGGTGCAAGTTTTCAGGATGAAGACGTTCAGAAGATTTGCTGCTCAAAGAGGATCTTTTCAAACCCTGGTGGAGGTGTATGATGAAATTCACTGAACTGACAATCCAGAATGGCACTGTCATCAACTGCAGAAGAGAATCAAACAGAAGGAATTAGAGAAGGAACACTCACCGTTTGATCCTCTATTACACCATCTTACTAGATTATATACTATGCTCAAACCTTGAAGAATATTCTATGACACATCCATTACATATATAAAATACAATTAAAAGAAATCTCTTCAACAAATTTGCTAAAGCCCTGCATGCATACCCAAGGAGAGCAAATCACCTCTCTTTTCTGCTGTTTACACTAGTCGGTACTGGTCCTTGGTGAGGTCAATGAGAATGCTACCTCTGATTTCACTGACAGTGTTAGCTGGGCTTCAGGCAATTTTCTACTCTATTTCTCTGGAAATCTACAGATTAAGGACACTACCAGATATATATTGCAGGGCTGTCACCTCTTCAGCTGCATATTTTTCTGTCCACTTCCTAGTTCTGCTGGAGTGTCAGCTGTCTGCAATGATTTTTCTGGAGGTTTACAAGGTTTCAGATGTCTGCAGTGGTTCGTGTCAGACCATCTGTTTCAGCATGTGATCCAAATAGAGCTGCTTCGACTGCTTCTTTAAGTTGAGAGTTAATGGGTTTTTTACAATACCTCTCCCAGTTTTGGACCCCCTACATAATCTCGGACACAAGTCTTACTACCTTCAACGTAGAATATAAAAAAGAAACTGCTGACAATTTTCAGAGCAAAGCTTTCATGCACTGCATTAGCAAAATGAAATACAACCAGTCAGAAAAGCAAGATTTCTTTGAAAGACAACTTCTTCCAAGACAAACCTGGTACACTATCAACATTAGATCAAAACACAAAAGCTTCATCTCCATATTTTGGGTTGGAATTTAAATATGACGATTTTCAGAGCAAAGCTTTCATGTACTGCATTAGCAAACTGAAATACCAAACCAGTCAGAAAAGCAAGATTTCTTTCAAAGACAACTTCTTCCAAGACAAACCTAGTACACTATCAACATTAGATCAAAACACAAAAGCTTCATCTCCATATTTTGGGTTGGAATTTAAATATCTCAGAGCCAAGGTTGTAATTTTTCCCTCCCAGGCTCAGTTAAAACTCCTATTAGTACATTTGTACAGTTCTGTAGTACTTATGCAGTGTTTGCATCTCACTTTTGCAAAAGTGCCTTAGGTACAGCTGCTGTAGGGAGACCAACTTTTAAGTCCATTTTTCTGTTTTACATTCCCAAGCTTGAGACCGTGTTTGCCTGCTGTATCGTCTTTCTTTTTAAAAGATATCTATAGTTCTGGTCTGAATTATGGATAAGGTAAATGCCTAAGAAACTCTCTTCTCTGTGGTCAAATCCATTCATGTGACTGGAAGAAGTTTACATTAAATTAAGGATATTTATAGTTAAAGTTTATACCAAGTAAGTACCACGCAAAAGCAATTTGCAGGCTTCAACTGTTATAGCTATACATAGGAGACACGATAATTATGATGAAATTATGCCCACTTGTGGAAGATGATAATAAGAGCCTAGCAATAAAAGGTCACCGCATTCCCCAGGCACGGAATTTCTTTAGTCAGAGACAAAGATGATTTACAGTAGGCTAACGTGCCGCCAAATGTTTTCTGTAAGCAACCTGCATTTTTCATGCTGGTGCAAACACCATTTCCAAAATCCAGGGAAGATGCAACAAGCAATTATCAGGCAGGAACTCTTCTCTGGCTGCTCACGAAGCTTTTTGCCCAAGGAGATCCGGCAGTGCTGCCGGGCAGCTGCTGTCAGCCACGGCACTTTCGCAGCACCATCATGTGGTGTACGAACACATCACAATGTGGCCACATAAACCAATTTCCACTCGAATAGCTTGAAAAGATGTCATTTGCCAGCTCCATTTAGAGACTTCAAAGGCTCTACGACACATCTAGAGTATTTTCTTCCTGTTCATAAAATTCAATATTACAAATGTATCGAGATATAAATGGGAACGTGCCATCAGTTCATTAGGAACCAACCATGAAATGAAAAAATTAACCGCATCACGTAGCTAATGGTATCTCAAGAACAAAACGATTTTGAAAGAGGCTACTACTCAGATGAAGCTCACACAGGAATAAAGACAAACTGGAGATGGCTGCAGGTGTAATACAGGGAATCCAATGTGCAGTTATTTGCTCTAAGTTACAAGCCAACCCAAAGTGTAGCGCTGATTACGCACTGAGCGAGGGGAAGCGCTGCCTTTCAGATGAGATGTTAAACAGAATTCTGACTACTTGGGAACTACAAAACCACCGCCAAGTTCTAGGAAGACTAAATTGTTAACATATGTATTGGCCAAATTCCAGCTTCTATAATTCTTTCATAAATTCTTTCTTAGACTGCCTATGCAGGGATTAATTGGATATGGTATTTGTTTTCTTGTTCAAAACTGCTATGTTGTACTGATGGTTACTGGCAAAACAGCTACCATGATTCGCCCACCAACTGTGACATTTCAAAAGTGGGCACCAAACTGGTGCAGCAGCAAAGAGCTGTACCACCATACGGCAAGCAGCTGTACTAGTACTACATTAAAGTTACTACTTCCATAAGGAAATACAAACAGTAATTCAGTATCTATTCGTATGGAACACTGTATGCGTTTATGAAGTATGTGAAATTAACAGGCATAAATACCAAGCTTCAGAGATAAATCAGATCAGCCCACAAGTCTATATTAGTTCGAATCTGTTGTTTTTCTGTTTTTCATCTGCTTCAAAGGGGTTTTTTTTACCTGGCAATTTTTAGACTGAGTGCAGTAACTCCCCAGCTTGTTGGATGTGGACACTGTAAGTAGTAAGTGGTGCTCATTTTCCTAGCTATTAAGCAGCATTAAAAATGAGGTGAAAATATACTTTCATATTTTCCTAAGTTTGTATTTTCATGCAATTTATTGTTGTAGTCGCCAAAAATGATTTGTGTGTGCTCCATTTAAGTGAGAAGAAGAATACATAGCTCACAGGACTGCCTTGGTAACAAAAATATTGTCCATACTGTGAAACAGTTTCAAAATCTCTGACTTACCATAGACCACTGGATAGACAGTCCCTCGGATTCCTGAAGCTGGACAATGCATGTTCTTCCCATTTAAATATACATTTAATTCTACATGGTCATACGTAATGCCCTACAAAGTACAGAAAATTAACAAAAAAGCATCAGCAAGTTTATACACATAAGATTGCTACTTAATTCAGCTTTCTTAGCCGCAGGCAAATTTTAACACCATTATGCAAACCACAGCATCCTAGAAAACCTCACTTGAAATATTCCTGCAAAGGACTAGAAGTTAATAAATGACCACTAACAGTTGTATTTTCAAATACTCAGGATTCCTTAACGCTCATTCAATTTGGATGCAGCATAGTACCGCACACCACATCTTACCAAGTTTACAAAACAAATTTCCAAACTATTCTTCAGCATGTTAAAGAAACACAAAATTTTCAATGATTTTGAATATTAAGGAGTTTGCAGTCTTCTTGTTTGTATCTCCTCATGGAAATAACTTTAATAAATAGTGATGCTACGAATTAAAGTCTATCTGTCCATCCTGCCATATGGAAACCTCTCTCAACTCATTTACTCTGCCAGCAGCAACAGACCATGGTTTCATACACAATGCTATAAATATGCTGACTACAGAGCAGAAAGCTAACACTAACAAGGTAATAAATTACTTATTTGCTAGTTAAATTATTTTTCTTACTATTTTAGTATGGCTGAGTGTGACAATTTGTGTTGTCATTCAGTACTTCAGAAATCTGTTTCCGTGACAAAACAAAATAAATTGAAATTTATGAAAACTGGGCAGTTGGCAGTAACCCGTCAGCCACTTTTTTGTAATTAGTTGAAGCTGTTCAGACTACATAGATTGACCAAACCCTGAAAGAGTCTGCAACCCTCAAAAAAAAACAATTTCAGAAGGGGATTAGAAGAATAAAACAGTATCTGAGGGTAAAGGATGGAGGCGTCAACCTTAGCTGTTTGGGGCTTCTAAAGATGAAATTTCTAACCATTGCTATATAGAGGCAAAGTTACCCAGCAAGAAAAAGCAGTGGTGATAAATGGTCTAAATTTCATTGCATTGCCTCCGTGTATTTTTGAAAATAAGTCTCTAACAGGACATTGAGAAAATGACAGCAATAAAACACAACCCTTTGTACAAAGGCACTTAAAGATGTTTTCAGAAATCTGGAACAGTAAGGTACAAAAAAATCTTAAGATTCTCCATTTGCTCTCATCCTTAGTAATTTTCCCAGTGAGCATTACCCCCTCCCCACTTAGTATCTCTCCTTCTCTACAAAAGTTTGACTAAAAATACAATTTGTTTATCACCCAGGACCTATCTCTGCTCAGCTCTGTCCTTCTAATTATTAACCAGTTAGGTACGGGATCCTGAGTTCAGCTGGGCACGGTGCATAGCTATGTCATGCATTCCAGCACATTATTTGTTCAGGAAGGTCCCATCTCAAACAAGGTAGGATCCTTGTGATGGAATTTATCCATCAGGTAGATACTGCAGCCAGACTGCAACAGAGCATTAGAAGCTACTTTTCAAACACTGGTAAAGTCTGTCCCTCATTCAGAAACACATCAATGCTTAGAATGAAGTCCACTGATACCCAGGCTGCTGATCTGTTCAAACACAACGCGAGGTTTTATCAGCACTTTCCAAACTGGGAGATGCAAGCCAAACAATTTCACTGAAACACTCAGTCTGACCACAGAGCTGTAAATAAGAGGAATCTGGGAACAGCTAGGGAAGTAAACAAGCCTTAAGAAACTCACCACCACATCTCCCTCCTGAGGAAGGCTGTTTGCTGGTAGTCTATTTTTCTCCTCATTGTTATAGTAGAGAGCTCCATCATTTCTCACCACCAGGCTATGGCTGTCTTTACCAAGTGGAATTTGATTCAAGTTTGCTTTCTGGGTTGCAACTCCAATACCCCAAATCCCTAAAATGTGACATTAACACGGTAAGAAAAAACACCATTATTTTGAAGACTATCTGACTGAAGCAGGATAGCACAAAGAATGTGTTTTTAACTAGGCCATGGCAGTACTACCAGTAAATCTCTCTTGGAAACACCAGGACTATTCTGGGTTAGCCTTGGCAGGCAGCTAAGCACCAGCCAGCCACTCACTTTCCCCCCTAGGTGGGACAGAGAAAGAGGAAAAGAAGAGCAAAACCATAAAAACTTATGGGTAAAGATAAAATTATTTAATAAGCAAAGGAGAAGTGGAAGAAAGAAAACAAAACTAAACAAAGTGATCATATATGAACAACAGCTGCAGGGTATTCTTCCCCCAACGTAAAGGATACTAAAATTGCCAACTTAAGACCAATCTGGGGTTTACATGTAGTTTAAAACTAAACAACTGCTTTGACTGCAAGATGTTTTGGATAGATTTGTGTTCACACTGCCTGCACTCCAATCCAACTGAATGCAAACAACCCTTACCCAAAAAGTGCCGGGTTCAAGCTCCAGCTGGTATCACAAGGCCTGTCTCTGGACTAACACTTCCCTTCTTTTTCCCTCCCCCTACACATTTAGGCAAAGAACGGCTTCATTTGCACAGTGTCTGTTGTTTTTAAAAATACAGGCTGATTTCTAATGTTAGAATACAGGCAAGCCTGGAGTGCACTCTGTACTAGTGAAGCTGACCATATTAGTAAAAGTAAAATGCTTCCAAGTTTCATTCACTTTCAGCTGCCTTGCGCTAGATCTTTGCAAAACAAATAAAGAAACAGGATGCGGAAAGGCTCCTCCTGATAAGGCGGTGTCAGAATAAGTGCTGCACATGTGATTTGAAGAGCAAAGCGTAGCACAAGGAGTGCTACCCTTTCCTGGGCAAACACAGTGCATGTTAAAAGCAAATAAAGGTAGGTAAATAGCTACAAATATTGCTGGATAAACTGCAGTATTTAAAAAAAATAGTTCATAGCTACAGTGTTTTAAGTGGTCATAAGCATTTATTTACCAAAAAACATTTCTAAAATATGCTAACTGAAAAACTTGCATATAACAGCATACAAAACAATACGGTGTTTAAGTATTTGCACTCCTTTAGTATATTAATATACTTACCATTCTTTTTAGTATTTCAGAGCCACAATTAAAAGGAAAAAAAAAAAGACATTTCCTTTTACACAATGATAAAACGCTCCAATGTTCACAAATTCAAGGATGCAATCAGAAAGATGCATGTGCTTAATGTCTGAGATATGACCACCAGTAGGCACTCTGACATACCTTCCAAGTTTAAAGTTGTACATTTTTGCTGACTAACCTGTGGACTGGATTTTAAACTCAAAATAGCTCTTGTTCTGATGCAAAGGTGCATTGGCTAAGCAGCCTCCTGTGCCACATATTCTTCTGCCATTTTTAACAATGACAACATCTGTTCCTGCAAGAAGAAAAAAAGCCGCAAAATTTTAAAACATTTTAGAAGTCTGGAAGCTGCCCTTGAAAGCCCTAAACATTGAGAACAGGTTTTGTTCTTTCTGCCCCGAGTAAGAGCTTCATTAGTCCGTGAGAATTATGATGACGGACCACACTTTGAAGTAAGAAAAGGAAGGCTGTTTACAGGCTAGTTCAGCTTTCAACTAAGGTTTATTTATTTAAAATCTATATGCTGCTCTAATTTTGCCTCTTGGGTTTTACGACACCATGCTGATTACAACCTTTGCTCAGCCATGTCAGAATCATAACTTACAATTTATTCAGAAACGGTTCACTGTGAGACCAAAGCCCTGTACCCTGTCTCTATATACTGGAGAAAAAAATTTCTGCAAAGAGAAGGAAAGGCACATCAGGTAGAAATGTTTGATGGAATTGCAAGGTGTTTAATTATTCTCTGAAAAAATAATTTTATTAGAAACATGCTTGCCAGTACAGAGAGAAAAAAATCCTCTAAGTTTTCCTTCTCCAGTGGAAGATTTCATCTTTAGGCACTGTTATCATGGTCAAGAACACTGGGGGCAGTCAAAGTCCACTGACACAACTGAATAAAAACAGGCTAATAACGGTGCTTTAGCACTGGACCCTGGATCAGCCACACTGCCCTCCTCCTAGCTCTGTCCTCAGCTCTGCTGCAGCTGACCCAGATCACTTCTCTCCTAAACAAAGCGCAGGCATGGTTTTGTGGATGGCTTATCCTAAGGATGATGCTCAAAGAGCAGTATGGACAAAGAGCTGCATGCCTTGGCTCCATCTGTGTCTTCATCGCTGTAACTCGTCCCTTCTGCTCTGAACCACTACCCCTTGCCTAACCTGACCAAGATCCTCAGCCCCCACCAGGCAGCCTTCCCGCCTCAGACATCCCCTCTAAGACTGAGGCACACCCCCACATACTCATTCTGCTGATAAGCTTCCAGTGAATTTCTCAGAATCACACAGAATCAATGAGGTTGGA